CAAAATATAAAAATTAGCTGGGGTGTGGTGGGTGCGTGCTTGTAGTCCAGCTACTGGGAGGCTGGAGGGTGGAAGGATCACTGAGCCCACGAGGTGGAGGACTGCGTGAGCTATGTCTCACCGCTGCCCACACCCTGGGGCAACAGAGCCTACCCCTGTCTCGAAAAAAAAAAAATAGGCAGAACGGGGCTCACGCTTGTAATCCAACACATTTGGGAGCTGAGGCGGTACTTGGGGTAGTCTGAGGCCAGGAGTGCATGACAGCTGGCCACATGGTGAAACCCCATCTCTACTAATACAAAATTAGCTGGGGCATGGTGGTGCATGCTGAATCCAGCTACTTCAGATAAAGGCATGAGAATTGCTTGAGGCCTGGGAGTGGAGGTTTGCCAGTGGAGCTGGAGATCACGCCACTGACCACTCGCCTGGGCAGCAGAGTGAAACTGTCTCAAAAACATAAACTAAGACCAGGCACGGGACTCCACATCTGAATCCTTAGCATTTGGGAGGCCGAGGCAGGCGTCCTTGAGTCAGGAGTTTGAGACTGCTTTGGCCAACGTGGTGAACCCTGTCTCTACAAAAAATCCAGAAAGTTAGCCGGCGCATTGGGGTGGTGGGTGGCCTGTAATCCCAGCTACTTGGGAGGCTGAGGCAGGAGAATCGCTTGAACGCAGGAGGCGGAGGTTGCAGTGAGCTGACATTGTGCCACTGCACTCCACTCCAGCCAGGGCAACAGAGCGAGACTCTGTCTCAAAAAAAAAAAATAAATAAAGTAAAATAAAAATAATAGTAATAAAATAGTAAATAACTAAAGCAATTTAACCCTATTCCCTTCAACACCTTCTTCTCTATATGACTTGCTTCAGATGCAGGCAGTGCCTGGGTTCCTGAGAGGCCAGGGAAGAGGCCCAGCTCCAGCTGGGTGGTTTCTAGTGGCAGAGCTGCTTATGTAGGAGAGGAGTCTGTTTTTCCTGCAGCTCTCAACATTGGCTCCCTGAGGAGTAAAAGCTGCCGGGAGGGAGAGTCTGTTCCGTAGCAAAATCCTCTGAATACTGTGATGTGATTCTTAGCTGAGCCCTGGGAGTTTTTCTTTTGCCTGTGAGATAAAAGAGGTGATAGTATCCTTATTTGCCTTCCTGGTGCTGGTAATAATCCCAATCGTAGTTAATTGAGGCAGGCATCTGCTAAATTTTCTAGTGAGGTCTGAGACACTATATGTGGGAGAATGTCTGAACTGTATTTCCCCTGAAAGTTTTGAAAAGTGGACTTCTGTGAGCTTTCAGTGACTTAAAAGTCTGTGGAATAGAGGGAGAGGAAAGGATGTACCAACCATAGAGACTGAGAAAAAGAAGTTGATTGTTTAAGATGATTGAGGCTATCACATGAGTTTCTAAGCAGACCTAAAAAGTAGTGGTCCCAGTTGAATCAGTGACCCTCTGATGAGAGTGCCCTATGAAGGCGTGGCAGGGAATGATTAAAGCTTCCTTCTTCTTATTCCCGTGCAACTCACAGTTGCGAGTAGAGACATATCCACATGGGAAGCCGTGCTGGGTCTGCTGCTCAGAGGGCACTACCTAATTTTGGGAGAGAGCATAGTGAAAGAGTTGCCACCTTCTTACCAATACCAAGCTCAAGCTGCATCAGGGATATTAAATTCAGGAATGAACTTGCTTGGCAGAGTTGGCAGAAAGAAACAGAAATAGCCTTTTTTGGTGTTCTCTGAGAACAGAAGAGTCCCCCATCCATCTTTCTGCAAAACTGTAGTGGTGACTGCTGGGAGGCAGGAAGCTGGACTGTATGATAATGGGCAGTGAAAAGTAACCTTGGGCTGGGTGCGGTGTCTCATGCCTGTAATCCTAGCACTTTGGGAGGCTGATGCGGGCGAATCACGAGGTCAGGAGATCAAGACCATCCTGGCTAACACGGTGAAACCCCGCCTCTACTAAAAATACAAAAAATTAGCCAGACGTGGTGGCGGGCATCTGTAGTCCCAGCTACTTGTGAGGCTGAGGCAGGAGAATGGCGTGAACCCAGAAGGCGGAGCTTGCAGTGAGTCAAGATTGCGCCACTGCACTCCAGCCTGGGCGGCAGAGCAAGACTCCGTCTCAAAAACAAAGTAACCTTAACATTTCAGAGGTGCAAGAATAGACACTGGAAGGGTGGTGGTGGAAAACTGCCTCCCAGAGGGACTAAAGAATCTCTAGACCTCCTTATTCCACCTACCCAAAGTATTTGCATCCAGCGTCACCAGTATTGAAGGTGATGTCACTAATATTTGGAAATTACCTGTATTCCAACTCTACAAAATTCTTCCTCTTGCTCATGCTCTTGAGTGTGTCTTAGACTCACTCTATTAGCATTTTTGTGAAGAGACCTCTGAGTCCTTTGTTAGCTATAGTCAGATTCTGGAGCCAGGTTGATCTGATGAAATTTCCCCCTGTTCTGCACTGATTCCAGATTTGGTGAGGCCCTGAAGGATTGCTCTTGCAGAGCAGTGTCTTTGGTCAGCAGTGTTCCTTCACTGAACTTCCAACAGTTTCTCTAGAGGAGGTGTTCTTTGTTTTGTGACTCCTGTTCCTCCCTGTTCTTTGGAAGGCCTAGATCTATAAGTCCTAGCCTGATTTCTTTTTGCCTTTTCACAGCCCCTCCAGTTGTTAGAATGTTTGTATGACAGTGGGGGGAGTGGTATTGGGGCAGAGAAAGCTGTCATAATGTCATAAGTATTTTTGGAAGATTCTCAAACAGTTGGAACTCTTTGCTTCCCTCATAGAACAATATAAGTTCTATGTTACACACACACTGGTTAGTAATCTTTTAGGTGATGAGGATTCAACTAGCATTTCTTTTTCTTTTTGTCTTTTTTTTTTTTTGAGACAGAGTCTTGCTGGTCTTGAACTCCTGACCTCAAAGTGATCCACCCACCTCGGCCACCCAGTGTACTGGGATTACAGGCATGAGCCACTGCCCCCAGCCTCAACTAGCATTTATTGAGTACTATTATGTACCAAAGACTGTGCTAGATTCATTCGTACACGTGATGGTATTTGTTCCACACAGCAACAATGAGAAGGCAGTGTTTTTTCCCAATTTGCAGTTGAGGATACATGGCTTGCATAAGTTGCACATTTCTAAAAGGTTGAATGAGGATTTTGAACCCCAGCCTATTTGCCTTCAAGTCCAGAGCTCTTTCCATTATATGTCAGCAGCCACAGCACTGGAGAAAGAGGGTGTGATGTCATGACGTCAGACAACCAGAGAAATGGCACAGCTTCTTCAGGGTTGATGATAGTTGTTTTAGAGCTGCCTTCTTCTAAGTGAAGCCTGGCATGATTTGCCCTGCCTTATATTTTCTGGGAGCTTTGAGTTTAAAAGGGAAGGTAAAAAATACCTGTAACTAGAAAATATAATAAATACTTTAATTTTTTTTTTTTTTTTGAGACAGAGTCTCACTCTGCCTCTAGGCTGGAGTGCAATGGCGCAGTCTTGGCTCACTGCACCTCCACCTCCCAGGTTCAAGTGATTCTCTGGCCTCAACCTCCCGAGTAGCTGGGATTAGAGGCACCCACCACCACACCTGGCTAATTTTTGTATTTTTGTAGAGATGGGGTTTCACCATGTTCGCCAGGATGGTCTCGATCTCTTGACCTTGTGATCTGCCCACCTCAGCCTCCCAAAGTGCTGGGATTACAGGCGTGAGCCACCACGCCCAGCCAAGATTTTAATATTAAATAAAGATGGCTGGGCATGGTGTTTCACGCCTGTAATCCTAGTGCTTTGGGATTCTGAGGTGGGAGAATTGTTTGAGGCCAGGAGTTCAAAGCTAGCCTGGGCAACACAGCAAGACCCCATCTGTACACAAAATTTTTTTTTTTAATTAGCTGAGCATGATGGCACACACCTGTAGTCCTAGCTACTCGGGAGGCTAAGGCAGGAGGATGCCTTGAGCCTAGGAGTTCAAGGTTACAGTGAGCTATGATCACGCCACTGCACTCCAGCCTGGGCAACAGAGCAAGACTTGTCTCTAAAACAAAAATAAAGGTTCGAGATGCACAGGACCTGTGTGTAGAATGTTATATGAGTAATGAAATATAGTCTAAAGAGGAAAAGAAAAAGGTTATAGCAGGCATTTAAAGGGAGACAGGAAGAGCAAGCGGATAGAAAAGTATTTGAAGAGTTAGGGAACAAGGGAATAGCACCTGAATTGCTTCTCAGTCTACCCGAAGAATCTGTAAATCACCAGGCATGGTGGCTTGTGCCTGTAATTCCAACACTTTAGGAGGCTGAGGAGGGAGGATTGCTTGAGCTCAGTTCAAGACCAGCCTAGGCAACATAGTGAGGCCTTGTCTCTACAGAAAAATTTAAAAAATTAAGCAGGCATGGTGGCACATGTGTATAGTCCTGGATACTTGGGAAGCTGAGGTGGGAGGATTGCTTGAGCCCAGAAAATCAAGGCTACAGGGAGCTCTGATCGTGCCACTGCACTCCAGCCTGGGCAGCAGAGCAAGACCTTGTCTCAAAAACAATAAGATTAAAAATTTTAAAAATAAGCCAAGCATGGTGGTGTGCACCTACTTGGGAGGCTGAGGTGGGAGGCTTGCTTGAGCCCAGGGGTCAAAGTTGCAATGAGCCCAGATTGTGCAACTGCCCTCCAGCCTGGGTAACAGAGCAAGACCTTGGCTCAAGAAAAAAAAAAAGAATTTGTAAATCTATATAAATACAACCTATACAAAACAACATTTCACATATATAAGCTAAGAACAGAGGCTAAGCTGAGTAACTAAGTACAGGAGGAATGATGAGTAATGTAATCAGAAGTGGAAGTAGTCAGGAAAGCTTCCTAGGAGATGTCTTCTTATCTGATTTTGAAGGAGTCCAGGAAGACAAAAAGAGGAGGTGCCTGGGAAGGTGTCATAGCAAAGGGAAGACCTGAGGATGGTACCACTAACCAGTGTGTGTATGTATCTCCCTTTCTGTTCTTTTCTCCCTCCCTCTTCCTGTAGCTTGGAAGCTCGAAGTCTGGCTGTGGCCATGGGAGATACAGTAGTGGAGCCTGCCCCCCTGAAGCCAACTTCTGAGCCCACTTCTGGCCCACCAGGGAATAATGGGGGGTCCCTGCTAAGTGTCATCACGGAGGGGGTCGGGGAATTATCAGTGATTGATCCTGAGGTGGCCCAGAAGGCCTGCCAGGAGGTGTTGGAGAAGGTCAAGCTTTTGCATGGAGGCGTGGCAGTCTCTAGCAGAGGCACCCCACTGGAGTTGGTCAATGGGGATGGTGTGGACAGTGAGATCCGTTGCCTAGATGATCCACCTGCCCAGATCAGGGAGGAGGAAGATGAGATGGGGGCCACAGTGGCCTCAGGCACAGCCAAAGGAGCAAGAAGACGGCGGCAGAATAACTCAGCTAAACAGTCTTGGCTCCTGAGGCTGTTTGAGTCAAAACTGTTTGACATCTCCATGGCCATTTCATACCTGTATAACTCCAAGGAGCCTGGAGTACAAGCCTACATCGGCAACCGGCTCTTCTGCTTTCGCAATGAGGACGTGGACTTCTATCTACCCCAGTTGCTTAACATGTACATCCACATGGATGAGGACGTGGGTGATGCCATTAAGCCCTACATAGTCCACCGTTGCCGCCAGAGCATTAACTTTTCCCTCCAGTGTGCCCTGTTGCTTGGGGCCTACTCTTCAGACATGCACATTTCCACTCAGCGACACTCCCGTGGGACCAAGCTACGGAAGCTGATCCTTTCAGATGAGCTAAAGCCAGCTCACAGGAAGAGGGAGCTGCCCTCCTTGAGCCCGGCCCCTGACACAGGGCTGTCTCCCTCCAAAAGGACTCACCAGCGCTCTAAGTCAGATGCCACTGCCAGCATAAGTCTCAGCAGCAACTTGAAACGAACAGCCAGCAACCCTAAAGTGGAGAATGAGGATGAGGTAAAATTCTGGGGAGGGCCAGAGACAAAAGGTGGCAGAGGGCTTCATGGAGACAGGATGCCTTCTATATACACACAGGGTTATGCTCTTCTTTCTGTCCTCCCCCTGTTTCATTTCACTGATAAAAGCATGGAATGTTAAAATGGAAAGACCTTAGAATTCATGTATTTAGACTGCCTTAGTTTACAAAGGAAGAACTCAGACCCAGAGAGAGAAAAGTGAGTTGCCTCAGGTCATATAGGTAATGGCAAGGCTGATGCTCCTGATGGTGCCCCAAATCATTTTTATTAAACTGCACTGGCCAGGCGCGGTGGCTCACGCCTGTAATCCCAGCACTTTGGGAGGCTGAGGCAGGCAGATCACAAGGTCAGGAGTTTGAGACCAGCCTGGCCAACATGGCAAAATCCCGCCTCTACTAAAAATACAAAAATTAGCCAGGCATGGTGGCGGGTGCCCGTAATCCCAGCTACTTGGGAGACCGAGACAGGATAATCCCTTGAACCCAGGAGGCAGAGGTTGTAATGAGCAGAGATCGCGCCACTGCACTCCAGCCTGGGCGACAGAGTGAGACTCCGTCTCGAATGAATAAACAAACAAACTGCCATTCCATTAACACCTACTGTGTTAATGAGAACTGTGGCAGAAGCCCTCCACACCCTGACCTGAGACTTGAGATAGCTACCAGAGCCTCTCAGAGAAGCATCTGTGGGAAAGGAAAGGGTGCTATTGTCTTTGTGTGTGCTGGGGTAGGGGAGATGTTAGATAAAATATCAACTTCATTCTCCTGGCCACTCCTACTCACAATCTAATCCCTTTTCACTACCCCCTGAAGATCCTACCTTTTGTTGACATAAGTGTAAGGTTCATTCTCTATCACTGAGGTATCTGGAGAATGCCTTTATTGCCTGCCTTTCCTTGTGGGAAAGAGTGCCTTGCTGGTATCTTTCCCATACCATTTGGGAGAAGCACAAAGGGAAGAGAAAGCACTCTTAGTATAAAGTAAATCTAGTGCCTAGTCAAGGACCTGGAGGCTGGGAAAAAGAGGAAGCTACAACAGCAGTTGGAGGTATAATTTAGGATACAGAGCAGGGAAGAGATGGCCACATGAATAGGTTATACCCACTTTTCACTCCACATCTGGACGGACAGCAGAGAAAGCTGCCCAGTGAACTACCAAGTGTCACTGACCTGGTGTCCCAGCCAGACAATGGTGCTCCAGTCCTCCTCTCTGACTCACCATTGGCCAGGCTCCCATCCTGGCTTCCAGCCCAGCCTAGACAAGAAGGGAGAAAAAAAGTAGGAATTTGCACTTTTTGAAAAATGCATATAGCTATGGTCCTGGCATCTGCCTCTGTGGGACATATAACCCACCCACGTTTTTGATACAATGGGACTTCTTTCAAATAGAGGGAAGTCAGAGTGACTAGAGAAAAGGAAGAGGGAGGGAAACTATAGAGCCTGCTCTCTGGAAATTTGAAATTTTGTTAGGATAATTTAATAATGGTAAAGTTAAAAGTGCTAACATTTATTCAGCACTTATGTGCCAGGCATCTTGCCAAGTACTTTACATTTAATCCTCACAACCATGCTGAGAGACAGGTATTATTTTACCAACGAGGAAACTGAGGCTTAGAAAGATTAGATGTTTTGCCCAAGGTCCCTCAACTAGTGAATGTCAGACCAGGACTCAAATCTCTAGCTGGTGCTCATAATCATTCAGCTGAACTGCCTTGGTTATTTCTCGATATGTACTTCCCGAGGTCCCCAGCTGTCAGAAGCCATGTGGGGAAGAACGGCCCAGTCTATGGCCATCTAAGCTTCCACATCCATGCACAGGCAAAGCCAAAACTGTTGTCAGAGCTAGAACGGACCATTTTCATTTCTGGTTGAGCTTGGCAGCAGAGCCCTGGGTCATGAAGGGAAGTTGCTGCAGAACAAGAAGAGTCATCCAGATTCTGGTGGAACATGAAGGGTTGGATAGCTGTCCCATCTTGGGGTCAAACCTGTAGCAGAGGGTGAGCAGCTGGAAGTGAATTCCTTGGTGCCTCTTGTCAGGCTTGGCTTTTCTCTGTATCCATTTTGTAGTGCTCGTCTTAGGACCAGAAAAGCTGAGGCCTTAGGACTTTTCTTACTCTGCTGATCCTTGGTCCCTCTTTCCTTGCATCTAACTCCCACTCCAGGATAGGATTATGGATGGCACTGAGAGGCAGGTATTAGGTGAATACTTATATCATTTAGGGTGGGTTCTGTAGCTGCCATTCTTTCCAACCTGACTCCTTATCTTGGGTCACTAGATGCAGGAAAGGAAGGAGATACTATGTTCCCAGGCACTCCAGCGTTATCTGATACTGACGGAATGAAATACCTGAATTCACTATGGCTCCTCAGAAAATGGGAGAGCAAGAAAAAGACAGAGAGAAACATGAATATCACTAGGTTTCTAAGCATTAGAGTCTTCAGCACAGGGGTCTCTCCCAACCCTTTTCCTTCCTTCTGTCCTTCTGTCTGTCCGTCCTTCCTTTTGCCCACCCGTTCATCTGTCTGTCCGCCCTTTTTGTTGCAACAGGGTCTTGCTCTGTTGCCCAGGCTGGTGTGCAATGGCACAGTCATAACTCACTGTAGCCTTTAACTCCTGGGCTCAAACAGTCCTCCCATCTTAACCTCCCAAGTATCTGGGGCTACAGCTGTATACCACCACATCTGGCTAATTAAAAAAATTTTTTTGTAAAGATGAGGTCTTGCTGTGTTGCCCAAGCTAGTCTCAAACTCCTGGCTTTAAGTGATCCTCTCGCCTCAGCCTCCCAAGTCACTGGGATTATAGGCATGAGTGACTAGACCCAGCCCCTTTGGCATTTTGAGGATATGTCTGTCAAGGCCTTTGTCCCCTAAATACCAAAGGAATTGGTTTTCCGTTTACTCATCCTTCTTCCCTTTCATGTAACATTCATTCACTCAACATGTAGTTATTGACCTTGTACAGTGTGCAAAGCCATGTGCTAGAGGCTGTGGAGGATGGGGGATAAAATGTTATCCTCCCCTCTAGGAACATGTAAAGTAATAATGAAAACCTCAGTATCTAGGAAACTGTTTAGTTTGTGACTCTCTTGAAAAAATTGTTTTCTGACATAAGCAGGAAGTATACAGGTTACTAAAATGAGGCACATAATTAACGCCTGAGTAGAGATACTTTAGGAGAATCTCTAGGTAGACCCTAACACTCGGCTTCCAGTCTCTTGCTTTCCTTTTAGGTTCTGAGTTTAATACTATGCTCCCACCAGCGGTAGAGGAGCTCCCAAGGGTGAGGTTGGGCCTCAAAGAAGAGGCTCAGGGTCAGCATGTACAGTTCTCTTCCTGCCCATGGTCTCCCTGCAGAGCTGTTCTCTGCTCAGCTCTCACAGTGTTCTCTTTCTTACTATGAGGAATCCTTTACACTGTCTCCCACAGTCAGAAGGCTTTGCGCCGATTTTTCACATTTTCCACCATTGCTCCTCAAAGCCTGCCCCTTCAAAGCCATTTTGTCAGCCTAGTTGGGGAACTCTGCTCAGGCAGTTTGTCCTCCCATTTGTAACCAAATGGCAAATATTTTGGTATAGAATGGGGGAGCTAAGAGGAGAGAGTGATTTAGGTACCACACCCTCCCCCACATAATGACACTGTTAGTAGATTAGCTTTGTCTTTTCAGAACTGCAACCTTTGTACAGAGAAATCTGCCACACGTCACACTGGAAGCCCCAGTAGGCCTTCTAGCTTGATGTAGTGTGATGTCAGCTTCTTGCTTCATCTTTACTCCCTGGAGCTGACTCAGTATGAGTGACTCAAGCCCAGGGAGTAGGAAGAGAGGAGCAGGTCATGATATACCTCCCTTCCCCCAGGGCTGTTAATGAGTCAGACAGGACCTGTCTGTGAGAATCAGCTGGAGCTTTGCCCAGGGAGCCAATATCCTGCCTGCTGTTCCTTCTTCAACCAGCTCATAGGTAGAAATAGAACCACTAAGTCATAATAGACTCTGACATCCTCACTGCCTTAATTCTCCCACCACCTTCTACCCAAAATGGAAGAGTTGTTGCGTTAGGAGCATGTTTCCAAGTGTGGCTTCTCCCTCAAAGTGCTCCAGTCCCCACATTCTTCAAGGAAGGACCTGAGTAAAGGACCTCCAGCTAGAATAGAACTGAAACCATGGAATTGAGTTCAAGTGGATGCTTGAATCTACTCAGCAGATTTCAGAGTAGAAACTCACTGACCATTGCCCTCCTGCCCTGGGAGCTCTTAGGACTTTGTCTTTTAAGTCTAACACCCCAACACCAACGTCCTCCCAACCTAGATTTGTGCACACGTGCTGCCCCGTTCCCTGCCCTGGTAGACCATGTTGGACAGAACCCAGGATGAACCCTGTGCATGAGTGTTTCCTCAGAGCTGCTGAGTGAGAGTTTGACACCATCTCTTTCCCCTGTTTTTCACACAGACACGTATGACACAGGAATGGGGTGATGTTTAGATAAATCCTCTGGGCTGGAACTAGGACAGCTGCTATCCAGCTAGTCAGCTTTCTAGATGGATATAGCTAGGACCTAACTCCCCAACTTATATCAAAAATCGTAATATATTGATTGTCATGTGGATAGCCTGATAGGAAGCCTAAGGAGTTTTGGTAGATAGGAGATTGATTTATCCTTCTCTCCCATCAGCATCCAGCCCAGAGATTTTGGGCTTATTGGTCTAGCATGCTCTTTGTCACACAGGTTCAAGGTTGGGATTCAGCTTCCCAGGGTGATAATGCGGCTAATTAGAGAAGAGGTATACCTGCCACTGAAAGTTTAGCTTTTCTTCCCCCCTGAGGTTTCCAAAAAGCTGGAGGAACATGGGGTTTCCAGTATGGGAGCCATGCAGCTTATTAAATTCAGTCCTGTGGTGGTCCCCATGGAGAAGGATTTGGTTGAGAGCATCTGAGTGGGTAAAAAAAAAAGAGCAGGGAAGCTTGGCAGTGCAGTTACTGCCCTAGGGACCCAGTTTTAGAGCTTTGGCCTAGAAGGAAGATCCACTCAGTTGAGAATAGAAGGGAATAAAGTGAAAAGCAGAGGCTGCTTTGTCTCTTCAGTCCTTCTGACCTTCTGAGTCTGAGCTGCCCTTCCAGCATCTCCCACAAGTGGTCAAGCATCTGGGCAAGTAGCATTTCTGAGCTGACTTTCTTTTATTAAAGCAGAAAGGTAGAACTTCACTAGAGAAGCAGTTACGATCCAAGTTGGAGCTAAATTCTTTACCTTTGTCTCTCTCCCCTCCCTTCCCACCCCCTCCTTCTCCCTTTGCCCTCTGGCCCTTTCCCAGGAGCTCTCCTCCAGCACCGAGAGTATTGATAATTCATTCAGTTCCGTAAGTGGGGTCAGGCTGGGACTGGGTGGCAGGCTCCCCCAATGGCCGCATTTCCTCTCCGTCCCCAGGTCTTCTGAGCCCCCAGGCCAAGGCTGAAGTTAAAATGCCCCTTTTCTTCCTGGGAGATCAGCTCCTCCCTCCCAGACCTCCCAGATCTGCTCTTCCTGACCTTTGCGGTGGAAATCCTGAGCCCAGGCTGAGATGAGCTCAGCTGATCCTTCTCTCAGAGACAGCTGGAGTATAGTGCTGCTCAGCCCCCAGCTCCTGAGTGTCTGGAGCAAACAGCTGGGAGAGAGGTAGAATTCACTCCTGGATTGGAGCCAAAAACTGCCTAGCAGAAACCCCCAGGATCCTGTTTCTCCCACCCAGAACCCTTTCCCCATGGCTTCTGCCATGAGATTATCAACTATTTATTAATAATCTTCTAAATGTTAGGCCCTGTGCTGGTGAGCTGACTCCAAAAACAAATAGGACTTGGCTTGAAGGAAAGTTTTGCCTCCCCACAACTGGTTTTCTTTTTTAACTTCAACCACATTTTTTCCAGGTCTGAGTTCTTCCCTTTTTCCAGCTCACTGCCCAGGATGTTCCATAATCCCCTCTCCTTTCTTGTTCCCTCTGGACTAACCCATGACCCTTTGGTCCCACAGGGTCTTGGACCTTGTTGCTGGGCAAAGACGTGAGAGGAAATGCAGGACCTCTGGGAGTTTGGATGATTTTTTTAATATTTTCTATTTGATTTGTCTATCAAATCAGTTTTCTCTGTTCTGTGCTAATCCCCTTTCAGTCATGATTCCTATCTCCTCCCATGTGGCAAAGCCTCTCTCTTGAGGCCTGGGGTCACATTTCCAACATGCTCACGTAACTTAGGGGCCCCTAACCCAAATGCTGATTTGAGAATGGGAAGGAATTCTGCCTTTTCTAATCTGAGATGATTATGAATTGGTTGGGGTAGAGGGTCCTTGGGACAGAGATCAGTTGCCATCTGAGTGGATTCAGATGAAGGAAGAAGTGAATCTTCAAATTTCCTCTTATTTTCTTTCTCTATTAAACACCCAGGATATTTTCAGGGACCTTAGAAACCCAATTCCATTGTTTTCCTTTTCTTTTTCTCTTTTCAACAATGTCACCTAAAGCATTCCTGAAGGATTCAGACATCCTCTTTCATTCCCTATGTGGCACTCTGAGCCATCTCCCAAGAGGCAAAGGCCACGATGAGCTTTTCCTTTGAATCCTGGCACTGTTGCACGTGGAGAGGTAGATCTGATACTCCCCAGTTTTCAAAAGAAGCTTTTAGAGTGCGAGGGAGCAAGGATAGAAATTCTCAATCCAGAAACTAAGCAAGACACATGGAAAGGGAGAGAAAGGCTTGGTGAGTCAAATGCTGTTTCTACAAGAGGAGGAGAGATTGTTCTTATCCAGCTGAGGGGAGATGGGATAGGGAGTTGGATGGCTATCTTGATAAAATGCCCCTTACGGTAGAAGGGCTTAGACTGGGAAGAGAGCCCTTCTTCATGTCTAGCTGAGTCCCTCTTTTTCCCCACCTGCACCTTACTTCCCAGACCAACCTTGCTCGTTCTGAGGATGACTGAATTGCCCAGCACAAGGAGCCAAACTCACAGCAGGGAATTCATATGGGGAACCTAGTCACTGAGAGGTAGGGGAAGAAGACCCAAAGAGGAGTCACTAAAAGAGACAGGCCTTCAGGGCCATCATCAAGGGCTAAAAGGAGCTGTTGCTTTCTCCATCCACCTACCTCCTTCCATCTGCTTTTTCTTTCTCCTTGATTAATGTAAAGTCTGCTCATCAGCTAATACTCTTTCCATCCCCTGCATGTGCATTGACGCCTTGTAAGAGATTGTGGGACGGACAGGGGGACACCATGGAAATCAACAGAAGTAATTTGAATGACGAGCATCTTCCCTCTTTGAAAGTGGAAATATTGATATGGGGCTCCCTTCTCTAGCCTTGCGGGACTTGGCAGAGCCCCTCGGCAGAGATCTAGCCCAGGGATCCAGATGGAGAGAGGGACAACCCTGTTCTTGAGAAGGGTGAAACAATTCAGGTGTAAGCAGCTCTTCTTTCTGTGCCCCTGGCTAACCTATCCAGATGTTGTCCCCTGCTCACTCTGAAGCCTTGGTACAGTCCTTAAGGAACCCAAGTTCAAGAGAAGAGGAGTGCATCCTAGTTACCTGGACTCACGGCCTCCCTTACCCTCAAGGATAGCCTGTAGGGAAGGAATGTGCTGGCTATTCTCAATTCAACCTGTGAAGGGTGGGTGGAAGCGCCTACTAAGACTAAAAAGCAGTTCCTTTCTTGAAGTTCTCCAGATACTGGGGTCTCCGGCCTGCGTGGCCAGGAGTGACTGAGTGGGTGGGCCATTGTATTATATGGTTTCTTCACCATCTTTTGTCTTACCCCAAACCCCTGTAGCCTGTTCGACTGGCTCCTGAGAGAGAATTCATCAAGTCCCTGATGGCGATCGGCAAGCGGCTGGCCACACTCCCCACCAAAGAGCAGAAAACACAGAGGCTGATCTCAGAGCTCTCCCTGCTCAACCATAAGCTCCCTGCCCGAGTCTGGCTGCCCACTGCTGGCTTTGACCACCACGTGGTCCGTGTACCCCACACACAGGCTGTTGTCCTCAACTCCAAGGACAAGGTAGATGGGTTCTGGCCCAAACCCCTACCCTGGATGTGACTCTTCACCCATGGTTGTTCAGGGTTTGTGTGTATGACCAGTGATGCCCCCACCAACATCCTAGTCTCCCTTCATAGTTCATGATGCATATGTCGACCATGACTGTCTCAGTGCGATTGTGATTTTGAGAGCCCTCCTGTATCCTTTTTTGGGCTTTGTTTTTCTGGACCAAAGAAACCTAATCTTTTTAGCTTCCTTCTTGCTGTATCTTAGGAGAATTGCTCTTTACCACACCTTATGGTCATTTTGGTAGCTCTTCTCCAGCCCTTCTATAACTCTTGAACTTTCCAGATACAGCAACCATAAGTATAGAGAAATATTTTGTTTCTAAGACCTTTTCTGAGCAGAGTGAGCAGACAGAAGGAGAGAAGGATGTCCAACTCACACTGGAGAGAATTAGCTGAATGTGTATGCTGACTGGAATATTCATGGTTCAGATTCTTCTTCTTTTTTGTTTGAGACGGAGTCTTACTCTGTCACTGAGGCTGGAGTGCAATGGCACAATCTTGGCTTACTGCAACCTCTGTCGCCTAGGTTCAAGTGATTCTCCTGCCTCAGCCTCCTGAGTAGCTGGGATTACAGGCACCTGCCACCGCGCCTGGCTACTTTTTGTAGTTTTAGTAGAGACGGGGTTTCACCATCTTGGCGAGGCTGGTCTGGAACTCCTGACCTCATGATCCACCCTCCTCGTCTTCCCAAAGTGCTGGGATTACGGGCATGAGCCACCGCGCCTGGCCCATATTTTTCTTTCAAAGGAAATATTGAAGTTTGGGATGCTCCTTGGGACAGTACCCAGCTTTGTCCCAGTCTTTTCGTCCACTGTAGCTCCCTGGGCCCTGTCTTCAGGACAAGCCCACAGAGGCATCTAGGCCTTCCTTACAGGCTGTAATTGATAGTCTAGAGTGGTTTGGCCCAAATGCATCATCTGTACATTTTGGAGCTCAGTTGTTCATAGTTTCAGGGGACTACTGAATGAAGGCTGGAGCTAGGAGAAAGGACAGCAGGAAGAACCTTGCTAAAGGAGTTGAGATTTGGGGGTGAATGGTGGAAGTAAGTTGCAAATACTGTTCTCACTCTTCCCCCAGGCTCCCTACCTGATTTATGTGGAAGTCCTTGAATGTGAAAACTTTGACACCACCAGTGTCCCTGCCCGAATCCCTGAGAACCGAATTCGGAGTACGAGGTCCGTAGAGAACTTGCCCGAATGTGGTATTACCCATGAGCAGCGAGCTGGCAGCTTCAGCACTGTGCCTAACTATGACAACGATGATGAGGCCTGGTCGGTGGATGACATAGGCGAGCTGCAAGTGGAGGTGAGGAAGCTTCAAGGAGGTAACGCTGGGGCACAGGAGCTTTCTCCAGGAGCTGTCACTATATTGGAAACAAGGCAGCATATCCCAAGGCAGGGTAAGGCAAGTACCCAAATGAGTGGTGTAGGTAGTGAGAGGTAAGAGGGAGAAAGCTCTGAACAACTCTAGTCTGGAATAGATTCAGGTGGAGCTCGTTTTCCTGGTGAAAGAATTCAGATTTAAATGTAAAGAGGAACTTCTAGGCCAAGGGGAGTGAGGGAAATTTAATGAAAATATTTATTGAACACCTGTATAAAATTGTCATAGAATAACAGAGGATGAGAAATCATACATTAATTCATTCAAGAAATATTTATTGAGGGCTTTCTATGTGCCGGACCTGAGTGCTGTGTGCTAGTGAACAATACTTGGCCCCTGCCTACAAGGGGTTTATGACCTAACTGGAAAGAGAACAAGGCCAGTAAGCAAGTAGTTGTGTGGTGAGAGCCAGGTCATGGTGGAAAGGATAGGACATTATAGGAGCACCAGACTTAGGGCAGGCATCACAAGAGATTTCCTGGAGGAAGTAATCTCTCAGCTAAGGCTGGAAGCATGGGTAGGAATTAGCTGGACAAAGACTGCTGGGCAGAGGGAACACTGCGTGCAAAGGCCAGAAGACGAGGGAGCTTGGGCCATTATAGGAACTGAAAGAAATTTTGTCTGGCTGTGATGTGCAGGTGTAGGGTAAGAAGTGGTGAAGAATAAGACTGGACACGTGGGCATGGACCAGGCTACAGGAAGGACCCTATAAGCTGGGGAAAGAAACTTGGACTTTATTCTGGGGAATGAAGAGCCAGAGCAGAATTTTATGTAGAGCTATTAACACAGCTGGCCAGGCGCGGTGGCTCACACCTGTAATCACAACGCTTTGGGAGGCCGAGGTGGGTGGATCGCTTGAGGTCAGGATTTCAAGACCAGCCTGGCCAACAAAGTGAAACTCCATCTCTACTAAAAATAGAAAAATTATGCTGGGTATAGTGGCGCACACCTGTAATCCCAGCACTTTGGGAGGACGAGACGAGTGGATCACCTGAGGTCAGGAGTGAGACCAGTGTGGCCAACATGGTGAAACCCCGTCTCCACTAAAAATACAAAAATTAGCCAGGCGTGGTGGCATGTGCCTGTAATCCCAGCTAATCGGGAGGCTGAGGCAGTAGAATTGCTTGAACCCAGAAGGCAGAGGTTGCAGTGAACCAAGATCACGCCACTGCACTTCAGCCTGGGTGACAAGCAAAATCTCAAAAGAAAAAAAAAAAAAAGGCCGGGTGTGGTGGAGCACACCTGTAATCCCAGCTACTTGGGAGGCTGAAGCACAAGAATCACTTGAATCTGGGTAGCGGAGGCTGCAGGGAGCCGAGATCACAGCATTGCCCTCCAACCTGGCCGACAGAGTGAGACCCTGTCTTAAAACAAAACAAACCAAAAGCACAGCCAGGGTCAGGTGTGGTGGCTCACACCTGTGATTCCAGCACTTTGGGAGGCTAAGGTGGGCGGATCACCTGAGGTCAGGAGTTCAAGACCATCCTGGCTAACATGGTGAAACCCCGTCTCTACTAAAAACAAAAAACAAAAAACAAAAAACTAGCCGGGCGAGGTGGCGGGCGCCTGTAGTCCCAGCTACTCGGGAGGCTGAGGCAGGAGAATGGCGTGAACCTGGGAGGCGGAGCTTGCAGTGAGCTGAGATCTGGCCACTGTACTCCAGCCTGGGCGACAGAGCGAGACTCTGTCTCAAAAAAAACAAAAAAACCCACACAGCCAGGTTTCACTCTGCCAAAAGACAGAATCTCTGTCTTTGAGTTTACAGTCCAATTGGAGACATTAGACATTTAAGAAAAAAAAAATTTAGATATACAACAAAGCAGTGTGTACTAGGTGACAAATGGAATTGAGAAGAAATGCTCTGGTATAAAGGAGAGAAGAGACTTGACATGGGCCTTGGGGTCTGGTAGAATATTCTGTAGTTAGAGAGATATGAGAAGATAAGATTGAATGACTTAGATTGAAGAAACTGTCAGAAGCTAGTCTGCAGAGGGTCTGCTTTGGACCCTAGGGGAGAACACATCCCTAGCCTTGGGGGGTTCTCAGTGAGGCTGAAATTTTGAGCTCCTGTGATGGTCCTGGCAGTGGTTTGCAAACTTCAGTGCATTGGAAGTCTTCTGGAGAACTTGTTAAAAATTCAGACTTTCAGATCCCATTCCCAGTAATTCTAATTCAGATTGATGGTGGGGCCTGGGAGTCTGCATTCCGGGTAATTCTGATGCAGGTAGTTCACATGTTGAGAAATGCTGCTCTGGGCAGCCTGGGGTCCAAGTAATCAACATGGTGTGTAAGCAGAGTTTGAAAGGGAGGGATGAGCATGCTGCAGTGATAGCAAGCAAGCAGGAGGGGAAAGACAGGAGACCTATACTTAGCACTTCTGACCAGCACTCCCCTGCTATCTCCAGCTCCCCGAAGTGCACACCAACAGCTGTGACAACATCTCCCAGTTCTCTGTGGACAGCATCACTAGCCAGGAGAGCAAGGAGCCTGTGTTCATTGCAGCAGGGGACATCCGGTATGGCCAGATCATATTGCCTCTATTAAAAATACAAAAAAATTAGCCGGGCGTGGTGGCGGACGCCTGTAGTCCCAGCTACTCGAGAGGCTGAGGCAGGAGAATGACATGAACCCAGGAGGCGGAGCTGGCAGTGAGCCGTGATCGCACCACTGCACTCCAGCCCGGGCAACAGAGCGAGACTCCATCTCAAAAAAAAAAAAAAAAGCACCCCAGGAAGGAGTTCGAGCAGTGTATCTCAAAGTGGGGTCTCAAAGCGACTGTTTGTCAGAATCCAGAGGGAGGAAGGAGGCCTTGTTGAAAATGCAGATTCTAGGCCAGGTGCGGTGGCTCACACCTGTAATATCAGCACTTTGGGAGGCCGCAGTGGGTGGATCACAAGGTCAGGAGATCGAGACTCCTGGCTAACACAGTGCAACCCCGTCTCTACTAAAAAAATTAGCTGGGTGTGGTGCTGGGCACCTGTAGTCCCAGCTACTCAGGAGGCTAAGGCAGGAGAATGATGTGAACCTGGGAGGTGGAGCTTGCAGTGAGCCGAGATCATGCCACTGCACTCCAGCCTGGGAGACAGAGCAAAACTCTGTCCAAAAAAAAAAAAAAAAAAAATGCAGATTCTAGAGACACTCATTCTGAATCAGTCTTGGTAGAGGAATATGGAGTGCCTGGTAATCTTAATTTTAACATGACTACAATCACTAAGTTAGCAAAAAGGTGTCACTGGTTATGTTTTCTTCCATGAGTCCCGTTCAGCCTGGGTTCCTATCTTCGTGTGCCCAGAATCCAGGAGACAGTGCAGGAAATGTCAGTATAGACGGCATGGGGCTTGTGGGTAGCTCCTCCAAGCAAATGATGTATTTTCTTCCTCACAGCCGGCGCCTTTCGGAACAGCTGGCTCATACCCCGACAGCCTTCAAACGAGACCCAGAAGATCCTTCTGCAGTTGCTCTCAAAGAGCCCTGGCAGGAGAAAGTACGGTGAGTTGGGTGTGGGTCTCTGAACACCTCTTAAAGCTCAGAGGCAGTTGCAGGGGCTCACTGTACCAACTTTATTGTCCATCAGCCTCCAAAAAAATCTGTCAGACTCGCAGCCTCCAAAAAAATCTGTCAGACTCGCAGGCTGTCTGGGTCCTTGCCCTATGGGGCATTTGCTTGGAATTTTTTGTGGAAGCTATGTCTCTTGTCCTCACCGTGGCATCAACCTTTGACACCCTTTACTTCTCTCCTCACAGGCGGATCAGAGAGGGCTCCCCCTATGGCCATCTCCCCAATTGGCGGCTCCTGTCAGTCATTGTCAAGTGTGGGGATGACCTTCGGCAAGAGCTTCTGGCCTTTCAGGTGTTGAAGCAACTGCAGGTAAGAGAAGAGAAGGAGAGGCCAGGCACAGTGGCTGTAATCCCAGCACTTTGGGAGGCCGAGGCAGTTGGATCACGAGGTCAGGAGCTCAAGATCAGCCTGGCCAAGATGGTGAAACCCTGTCTCTACTAAAAATACAAAAATTAGCTGGGCACAGTGACAGGCGCCTGTAATCCCAGCTACTCAGGAGGCTGAGGCAGGAGAATCGCTTGAACCCAGGAGGCAGGGGTTGCAGTGAGCCAAGATCGCGCCACTGCAATCTAGCCTGGGCGACAGAGCAAGACTCTGTCAAAAAAAAAAAAAAAAAAGAGAGGAGGGGAACTCAGCCCAACTCCAGCCAACCTGAGGTAACTACACAGATTATTCTGCTGGGGACCACCTTCCTGCCCAGGTCTAAAACAAAAGCAGAGTAAAGAAAAGCTAGGCAACTTTCCCCTGGGAAGAATAGCCATAGGAACAACTCCACAGCGGCCTCTTTTGGCCCTTTTGTGACTTGCACCTGCCCTGTTCCAAGTCAGAACTTTAGAGTGCTAGGTTTGCCTTTTAGATCAAAACTTCCAAAATGGGCTGGCACCCTGGCATGGGCCTGTAGTCTCAGCTAGTCAGAAGGCTGAGGCGGGAGGATGTCTTGAGCCCAGGAGTTCTGGGCTATAGTCTGCTATGCCAATTGGGTGTCCATGCTAAGTTCGTCATCAATATGGTGACCTCCTGGGAACAGGGGACCACCAGGTTGCCTAAGGGAGGGGTGAACTGGCCCAGGTCGGAAATGGAGCAGGTCAGGACTCCTGTGCTGATCAGTAAAAGGATCGAGACTGAATAGACACTGCCCTCCAGCCTGATCAACATAGTAAGACCCTGTCTCTAAGAAAAATATGCATTTGAAGAAATCAGCATTTCTTTTCTTTTTGAGATGGAGTTTTGCTCTTGTTGTCCAGGCTGGAGTGCAAAGGCGCGATCTCGGCTCACCGCAACCTCTGCCTCCCAGGTTCAAGCGATTCTTCTGCCTCAGCCTTCCCAAGTAGCTGGGATTATAGGCATGCACCACCACACCCGGCTAATTTTGTATTTTTTAGTAGACATAGGGTTTCTCCATGTGAGCCAGGCTGGTCTCGAACTCCCAACCTCAGGTGATCCGCCCACCTCAGCCTCCCAAAGTGCTGGGATTACAGGTGTGAGCCACCACGCCTGGCTGAAGAAATCAGCATCTCTAACTGAAGTGAGCCAAAACCAAAATTTTGCTAAGGCAAAGTTTAGTGACCCACCTTCTCCTAGTGTTAAGTGTGTGCTAAGGTACATGGAAGACCAATTTATTTATACAAGACACTGAGATTTTTTCAAGAAATAGCTGTCAAATCTCAAGCTGAAGATCTAAATGTGAACAGTTTACTAATGCACTACTGAAGTTTAAATCTGTGGTACAATCATTGTAAACATGGGGTTCATTTCTCTAAATTGATTTCTAAACTGAAATTACTGGAAGACTTCCTTTCCCATTTTTGCCAAATTCAATTTCTGGTTTTTGGCATATATCCATTATTCAAACTTAATGCCTCTAATTTTAATGCCAACACAATTGGTTGTAATCAAATTTTTTTGTCGCCCAGGCTGGAGTGCAGTGGTGTGATCTCGGTTCACTGCAAGCTCCACCTCCCGGCTTCACGCCATTCTCCTGCCTCAGCCTCCCAAGTAGCTGGGACTACAGGCACCCACCACCTCGCCCAGCTAATTTTTTGTATTTTTAGTAGAGACAGGGTTTCACTGTGTTAGCCAGGATGGTCTTGATCTCCTGACCTTGTGATCCACCTGCCTCGGCCTCCCAAAGTGCTGGGATTACAGGCGTGAGCCACTGTGCCCAGCCCAAATTTTTAAATAATAATAATTTGGTCCTCCCCCTTTAAAAAACAAACAACATAAAAACTTCCCAAATGGTCTGTAGCAGGTAGGTTATAGTGTGCTGAAATATTGATCTTCTGATCCCCCTGGGTTAGTCACCTGCAAGCCACTTAATTTGTTTAATACTGTTCTTTATACCATATAAATATTTTCATTTTCCAGAGAAGTCTTCTCTGGACCTAAATCCTTTCTTTTTTTCTTTTTTCTTTTTTTTTTTTTTTTTTTTTTTTT